ACACAGGAGGGTAGACTGCTTCTTCTTGCAAGAAAGGCTTGGAGAGACTTGGGAGTTTAAAATTTTCAACTTTGTTCAGTTACACCTAGAGGCCCCTATTCCAAATATCTGGTTTACTCCCTCTCAGTGTCATAAGTATAACATAAGACACTATGTCTTATGACAAGTCTGCGAATTCAACTGATGTTATCATTTTGCAACCCAGATGACTAAATTTTAGGTCTGTTTTTCTGTAAGTTTGACTCTATAGCTATAATAAAAATAGTAGATTATCTTAGAGCCACCATGGATCCTCTCTAGTTCTTTGTCATTTGAGATGAATCTTTTTTTTTTTTTTTTGGTACGGAGCCTCATTTGGTCACCCAGGCTGGAGTGTAGTGGCCTGATCTTGGCTCACTGCAACCTCTGCCTCCCAGGTTCAAGCAATTATCTTGCCTCAGCTTCCCAAGTAGCTGGAATTATAGGTGCCTGCCATCACACCCAGATAATTTTTGTATTTTTAGTAGAAACAGAGTTTCGCCATGTTGGCCAGTCTGGTCTCAAACTCCTGACATCAAGTAATCTACCTGCCTTGGCCTCCCAAAGTGCTGGGATTACAGGTGTAAGCCACCATGCCTGGCCTGAGATGAACCTTTAAAACCCTGGTTTTAAGCTGTGTACAGTGATGTACACCTGTAATCCCAGCTACTCAGGTGGCTGAGGTGGAAGAATTGCTTGAGCCCAGGAGTTTGGTGCCAGCATGGACAACATTGCAAGACTCCATTAAAAAAAAAAACAACCCACTAACCCCGATTTTGTGGGGTTTTTTCTATATTCATTTTAATGTAGTCAGAAGCAGATAATCCACCCCACAATTCTTACAGTCTTTATTATTACCATAGCTGTCAAGTGCCATAGCCACTTGGTCATTCAAGCTACTTGTTTCAGTAGACACTTCACACAAACAATGACAAGTGATACTTTAGTTCATCATATGCCCTGCATATATACAGACCACTAGACTGATTTCCAGTTAACAAAGAGTTCAGCACTGCTTTCAAAGTTGAAGATATAACCAAACAATCCCAAATCCCATTTTTGAGAGTTTATTTCCTGGGAATACTCTTGTCACCAAGTACCATGTTGGTTAGGGTGTACTCGGAAAACAGGAACTACACTAGTCGTTTCAGCAGAGAGAATTTAACAAAAGAAATGTGTTATAGGCTGAGTGTAATGGCTCATGCCTGTAATCTCAGCACTTTGGGAGGCCAAGGCAGGCAAATCACTTAAGCTTAGGAGTTCTAGACCAGCCTGGCCAACATGGCAAAATGTATTTTTATTTTACAACAACAACAAAAAAATAGCTTGTGGGAGATTGGTCAGGATGGTTGGAAAGATTGTAAAATTACAGAATATAGTCACAAACCTTCTTGGAAGGCTAAGAGGTTTGCATAGTTTCAGTAGAAGTTTTGGCTGAAAGCAGCCTATTCCTTTTAACTTTAGTTAATATAGAAAAGCAAATAACTAGGGAATTTGGGGGAGTTTATCTGAATAGCTTGTTTACTCATGTGATCCTAAAACTAACCTTTAATCTTTCATGGGCCGAATGGCTGTCTTGGGGGGAGGGTGACCAGATATATCACCTACAAATGGTGTTTGCTTTAGGCCTTGGAACCTGGCCTTTAATCATTATCCACAAGTGTGTTGACTCAGAGCCTCTGTTATTAAATCTATACTGAATAAATGCCTGGAGTGCCAGCTGTTTGGGGGCCGATGGCTGCTATCTTTCTCAGCAGTGTCTCTGAGTGACCATGGACCCCTGGCCCACTCTTTTACTGGAGATTTGTGTTTAAGTGAATTTATTAATCTGTCACTAGATTAGAGTCTTTGGGTTGGACCCTGACAATAGCTGGATGTGGTGGCTTACACCTGTGGTTCCAGCTACTCAGGAGGCTGAGGTGGGAGGATCACCTGAGTCCAGGAGGCAGAGGTTGCAGTGCCACTGCACTCCAGCCTGTGTGACAGAGTAAGACCCTGTCTCAAAAAAAAAAAAAAAGAAAAGAAAAAAAAAGAGTTCCATTGGGCTTTTGCTTCAAAAAAGCAACAGGCAGACCTTGAGGTCCAGAGATCATAAACTTCCAGGGGAACAAAAGGAAGAAGAGAAGTTTGTGATTTTTAGAAACTAGAGGCTTGGAGGAGGGTCCCGCAGAGCTGGGGCTTAGATCCCTGAGGAAGAGGCCCTGCCATGCTGGTACTGGTACCTCAGAGCGGGTACCTGAAGGCTAATTTTGGAAGTGACAAAAAAAGTGAGAGACTTAAGCCAACACTGCACAGAAGAAAGTGTTGTTGCTCAGGAGACAATGATGGGAACAGTACAGAGCAGGAGAGGCAGTCCTGGCTCTGCATGCTATTCTCCCTCTAGCACCCACTATGGGCAGAACCAGAGAACTACCCAGAGAGAAAGGAATAGTTTGCAGAATCCCAGACTCAGACCACAAAGCAGAATTTAGAAGGGTGGGTTTAGAGCTGATGCAATTCAATTATGAGTGTTTTAACAAATAACCACAGTACAGAGACTCAATTACAATAAAGGATGTGATGAAATAGATATGTGGATTTTCTTTTGTCTCTGCTACCCCTGAGATAGCAAGAACAACTCCTTCTCTTCCTCAGCCTACTCAATGTAAAGACAATAAGGACCTTTATGATGACCCACATCCACTTAATACATAGTAAATATACATTGTTAATACATAGTAAATATGTTTTCTTTTCCATATGACGATCTTGGTTTTTAAAAAAATGTTTTTAATAGAGACAGGGCTTTGGTTTGTTGCCCAGGCTGGTCTTGAACTCCTGTTGTCAAGTGATCGTCCTGCCTTGGCTTCCCAAAGTGCTGGGATTACAGACATGAACCACTGGGCCTGGCATACTTTTCTAAATAATATTTTCTTTTCTCTGCCTTACTTTATTATAATAATACCATATATAATATATACCATAAAAATATGTGTTAATTGACTATATTATTGGTAAGGCTTTCAGTCAACAGTAGGCTATTAGTAGTTAGTTTTGGGGGAGTCAAAAGCTATATGGATTTCCCTTCCCCTCCCCTTCCTTCCCCTCCCCTCCCTTCCCCTCCCCTCTCCTCCCC